ACGTTCCTCTTTCTGAGGACGGTTTCTCGACGTGATGTGGTTGTGGAGCAGTTCTGTAGCGGTTCCCTCACCGTCTCCTCCAAATCCGTAGTGGTGGATATGCGCCTCTACGATGAATCGTGCTTTATTCATAACGGTCATCCAGATCTATATATACATCGGCTGTATATCCCCCAAATCCATCACATCTTAACCCGTTCAATCTCAATCTTTCTCTTGTGCTATTCGAAATTCAACCTCTATCCAAAGAAAATGGCGAATAATTTGCGTAATGCAATCCAAAACCTTAACCTGGGGATTAACGACGAACCTGTCGCTCTCCCCATCGATGTGTGTACTGAAGCTGTCCGAGTCAATCAGTTTTCCTTAATCGGAAGGGCTCTCATTCCTCGTCGTCAGAATCTCCGGGCGATTGTTGCAACTTTACCTCGCAATTGGGGTCTCACTGGAGTCATTTCGGGCCGAGTGATTGAACGCCGACGCTTTCAATTTGTGTTCCCCTCTGAAGACTTGATGCAATCGGTCTTGAATCGGGGACCCTGGTCGTACGGAGACAGAATGCTCGTGCTTCAACAATGGAGGCCAGAGATGGATGAGACTGATCTCAATATCATCCCCTTCTGGGTCCAAGTCAGAGGAATACCAATCCAATTCCTGACCCGCAACGTGATCTACCACATCGGCGATTCCCTTGGTCACGTCAATGTCATCGATTTCAATCCAGAAATGGCGGCGGCGGTGGAATTTGTCCGAGTGAAGATACTTTTGAAGGTGACAATCCTCTGCGCTTTCAGAAGAATTTCCAATTTACCCCAGGGGTCAACACGGTGCTTAACTTCAGATACGAACGCCTCCGAGGTTTCTGTGAGGAATGTGGGCTGATGACGCACGATACAGGGGAGTGTATCCCCAATGAGGAAGACGATGCACCGCCACCAGACAACAACGATGATGACAATGGCGATGACGACAATGTTAATCAGATGGAGGCAGAGCACGTCCATGTTCCCGATCCAATGATTCAACAACTGGAGCGGGAGGCTCTAAACCAGAGGAGATTGGAGGGTGAATGGGGGCGTGGAGGAATTCTCATCTGCAGAGGAGTACTCACCAATCCCATTTACGGAGAAGGATCTTACACCGATCCCACAGTTGATAGAAGATCAAGCGATGCGTAAGAGACGGTTTGTGGATGCACTGGTGGAGGATATCGAAAGGGAAGCACGTCTCCGCCTATCGACTACGCCACGGGATGGTAATATACTTACTGAGGATGATGATACTGAGGATGATGATGATCATATTATATTGCAATGGGAAAGTAGAATGGATAATGATGGTTCTTTTGAGCAGTATGGTAGCTTTATGGGTTATGATGTTTTGACAGAGATTCAATCAGACCAAGCGACTAAGAAAGCTCGTCTGAGTGGTGAAACAGAAGTGATGCAAGGTCCAGAGACTCATCAGACCTCGGAGGAATCGGATTCATTGAAGAAGCTTCAGACTGACTACATGGGCTCAGGTTCCCTTTCCCCAAACCTGACACCAATAGACAGAGGCACGGTGGGCCCGGTACCACCACCAGTCCCATGAGAGTCGAGGTGTGGAACTGTTGGGGTTTGGGACAGCGCCTCACAGTTCAACGTCTAAAGGAGATAGAAAGGGTGTATCTCCCGGACATGCTGTTCCTGATGGAAACCAAGCAAAGTGATGACTACGTAAGGGATGTTGGAGTTCAGTTAGGGTATGATCAGATGAAAATAGTTTCTCCGCAGGGTTTAAGTGGTGGTTTAGTTGTGTTTTGGAAGAATTTCGTTTCAGTTTCTTGTATTTCGTTTGATTCCCGTCTTATAGACATCCATGTTGAATACAAAGCTTTTCAATTCTACTTGTCGTGTGTCTATGGTCACCCAATACCGAGTCAACGAAATCATTTATGGGAGAAACTACAACGAATTGCAGTGCATAGACTTGGTCCATGGATGATGTGTGGAGATTTTAATGAGATTTTGAGTAATGCAGAGAAAAAAGGAGGACGTATTAGGTCTGAGAGTAGCTTCAGAAATTTTCGTTTGATGATGGAGACTTGTGATATGCAGGATATCAGATCCAAAGGTAATCCTTTCAATTGGGTGGGTAATACAAGAAGTGGTATTGTTGAGTGCTGTTTAGATCGTGTTCTAGCTAACTCAGAATGGAGACGACTTTATCCAGCTTCTGAAACAAAGTTTTTAGATATAGCAGAGTCTGATCATAGGCCATTGTTAGTCATCATTGAATATGAAGAGAGAATCAAAAGAGGCCAATTCCAATATGATAAAAGACTATGTCAAGAAGAAGATTTTGTTGAAACGGTAAGGCATTTTTGGAAGCATAAGAGTTCTCATATTCAGGATTTCTCAGTTAAGCTAAAAGTATGTCGTACAGAGATGGCTAAATGGAAAAGGAGGCATCGTTTTAATTCAGTTGAAGATATTCAGACTATTCGTACTCAATTAGACAGAGCTTTGAGAGATCCAACAGTAGCGGCTTGGGAGATACGAAGTTTGAGAGCTAATCTGAATAAGGCTTATCATAATGAAGAAGTGTTTTGGCATGTTAAAAGCAGAAATAAATGATTACAAGTGGGAGACAGGAACAATGCTTTTTTCCATGGAGTCACTAAAACAAGAAAACCGAGGACTTGTATTAAGAAGATAGTTGATGATCAAGGAATTGCTCACACAAATGATGAAGCAATAGCAAGGGTGGCAGAGGAGTATTTTAGCCAAATGTTTACGGCTTCAAATACAAGACCTGTGAATGATATCATACCAACTATGGATACAAGAGTGACGGCAGAGATTAAAATGTTGTTAACAAGACCAATTTCAGCATTGGAGATTCGGGATGCAGTTTTCTCTATTGGTCCAGATAAGGCACCCGGTTTTGATGGTTACACAGCCTCTTTTTATCGACAATTTTGGGAGGAAATAGGTTCTGATGTAATCCGACTAATCCAGAAATTTTTTGATACAGGTGTAATGGAGGAAGGAGTTAACCATACACAGCTTTGTTTACTACCAAAAACACATGGTGCAGACAGATTAGCGGATTTCAGACCTATCAGCTTATGTACGGTCAGCTATAAGATTATTTCAAAGATTCTAGTAATGCGTTTGAAAGGAATCTTAGGAAATATTATATCTGATTCTCAGGCAGCGTTTGTTCCAGGGAGGAACATAACTGATAATGTTTTGATAGCTCATGAACTGATGCATGCTTTAAAGTCCAAAAAAGATTGTGCTCAACAATATCTAGCCATCAAAACAGATATCAGCAAAGCTTATGATCGTGTGGAATGGGGTTTTCTTGAAGAAGTAATGAAAAAGATGGGTTTTGATAACAAATGGATAGGTTGGGTAATGAGTTGTGTCCGATCAGTTTCATTCTCCATCATTATCAATGGTTTAGATTACGGGAAAATTCAACCACAAAGGGGAATAAGACAAGGTGATCCTCTTTCTCCATATCTCTTTTTATTGTGTGCATAAACTTTATCTCAGATGATTTATCAAGCGGAAGCAAGGAAAGAGTTTCATGGAATGAGGTTAACCAAAGCATGCCCTTCCGTATCTCATCTACTGTTTGCAGATGATTCTCTTTTCTTCTGCAGATCAACTTATGAAGATTGTCAACGAATGGCGAGAATTCTACACGACTACGAAGCTATATCAGGTCAGAAGGTCAATCTTCAAAAATCGTCAATCATTTTTGGTAATCGTATTACAAGTCATCGGAAACAGATTATACAAGGCCTCCTAGGAATTTCAAGAGTGGGTGGTGGAGGAAAATATTTGGGTCTTCCGGAACAATTTGGGAGAAAGAAAACGGAGATTTTCCAGGGATTAGTAGAGAGAGTAAAGGAGAATGTAGGTTCTTGGTACAATCAGTTTTTGAGTCAAGCGGGTAAGAAAGTGCTTATCAAATCAGTTGCACAAGTTAAACCGGTGTATGCGATGAGTTGTTTTCTTATTCCGAAAAAAATTTGCCAAGAGATCAACAGCATTCTATCAGAGTTTTAGTGGGGAACGAATGACAATGGACATCGTAAGATTTCATGGATCTCTTGGGAGAGATTGTCATTACCGAAGGATGAAGGAGGAATGGGATTCAGGGATCTTCATAGATTTAATATGGCATTACTTGGGAAGCAAGCATGGAGAATACTGCAGAATCCACAATCACTATTGTCACGGATTTATAAAGGGAGATACCACAAATCATCGACGTTCTTAGAGTCGGTGTGTGGAGGTGGCCCATCTTATGGATGGAGATCAATTCAAGCAGGGAAAGACCTGCTCAAAAAGGGTTTACAAGTCAGACTAGGAGATGGTAAGGTTACTAAGGTCTGGTCAGATCATTGGCTACCTGTTGTACCTCCAAGAGTCGTTCAAGGAAATGTAGGAGTTGGAAACATTAGAGATTTGAATATGCATGTGGAGGAGCTTTGGAAGCCAGGGATTAGGGAATGGGATGAAGCTAAATTAGTGCAGCTTTTAGCTCCAGAAGATGTAGAAATAGTCAAATCGATCAGATTGTCAAGATTTGCTAATGAAGATGTGTTTGTTTGGCCATACACTACTAACACAGTGTATACAGTAAAATCAGGCTATTGGGTGGCGACTCATGTTGTGGAGGATGGAGAAAGAATAGAACCACCCCCAGGTCCAATTGAAGTGAAGAAAAAAATATGGAAACTTCAAATTCCACCAAAGATACAACATTTCTTATGGAAAACTATAGCAGGGGCAATTCCAACAGCTGAAAGGTTATGTTCCCGCATCCTGAATATAGATCCGATGTGTCAACGCTGTTGTCTCTATGAAGAAACGATTAATCATGTTTTGTTTAATTGTCAACATGCAAATTCTATTTGGAGATGTGCAGGATTCACCCAGTTTGATAGGTCAGACATATCTTTGGAAGACAACATTCGAATGTTATTTCAAATCCTGGAAATGCAATCTTTGACGGAGGAGAAAAGATTCCTTCCCATGTGGATGAGTTGGATGATCTGGAAATCGAGAAATGACTTTCTATTTGCACATAGAAATGTTCATCCTCAGAACGATGTGGAGAAAGGAGTTCAAGCTGTAGCGGAATGGTTTATTGCTAATCCGTCCACTACGATTCAAGAAAGAAGAATATGTGTGACACCAACAAGCTGTTGGGAACCACCATCATCAGGTTGGTTAAAATGTAACTTTGATAGCACATATAGATCGTCTGCGTCTTGCATGGGTGTAGGGTGGATAATAAGAGATGACAAAGGACAGTATATAGAATCAGGTTGGGCAAAATTACCTCAGGTAGACACACCACTGCAGGCTGAAGCAAATGGCTTTCTCTATGTGGTTCAACGCATATGGAGTAAAGGTATGAGGAATGTCTGGTTTGAAGGAGATAGCCTTCAGCTCACTAATGTGATCAATAAATGGGAAGAGAATACAGAGTTGGGCAATATCCTCATTGATATTCGTCATTGGATTTCACTTCTGCCATTATGTTCTTTAGCACAAGTGAACAGGGAGAAAAATCAGGCAGCAGATTTACTTTCAAAATGTATTTATGATTCTGTTGATTTCTTTATGTTGTATGCAAGCCCACCTCAATGGTTGGTTAAATATTTGTATGCTCCCTTCACTATTTAATAAAGCTTCAGATGTTAAAAAAAAAAAAAAAACTGATTAGTATGATAACAAACAAATTGACGTTATAACAAAATCATTAGCGTGATAACAAAATGATCAATCTATCCACAACACTTCTTCTACGCAGCAATTCCCTTTCTTCTTCTAATACAAAATATTTCCGGAGCTCCGTTACAATCTGAATTCGCATTAAAAAAACTGTATTGAAGATTTTTCATCGATTAACTTTGGCTGATAAAATCTAGGTTTTATATAGAAACACAAAAATTAGTGATGCTTCTAACAAAATTATAAAGAAATAACAGAATTTGATAAAAGTGAATACTCACAATTCAATCCAGAAAACTTAATGTTAACAAGACACTCAACCCAAAAATTAGTGATGATTCTAACCAGGAATTGTAACCGAACATCAGTTTCCATGGGCGGCGCGTGGTGAGACCAGATTTTGGCCCATGATATATAGTCGAGATCCACTTCTGGCGATGGATGAGACGACGTTGGAATTACAGTTGTTTTCTTGCAGTTGTTTTCGTGTCTGGAGATAGAGAGAGATTGGAGAGACGAAAGAAATTAAAATGATTTAAGATAACACATCATTTACTATGGACCCACATCCATTTCCTTGCTACACGCAATAATCAAAACCACTGGCGTGTAGGGATATGTTGTCAGATGCTGTCAATTAATTTCACATTGTATATTTCTTGCAATTTCCCAATTTTATATTAAGATTGATTTAAAATGATTTTTTTTGAGTAAAAAATAAACTAAAATTTGATATAAAAACCACATCAAAAATAATAGTATCATTTTTTCTGAAACCAAATAAATAACTCTTGAAATATATTTAAGTTAATTAATCCCATCGCACTACAAAAAATCAAGCATGTAACGTCAGTTTATTGAAGTCATTTTGGAAAATGACGTGAAGTTTTTAAAATTAGAAGTATTTTAGCATCAGTTTGAAAACTGACTTTAAGTTTTAGGGTCAATAATAATTATTTTGACCCAGTAACAGACTTAAAATTAAAAGCCCAATCTTAAATTTAGGTTAATAGCCTTTTTAGAATGTATCGGCGCTTTTCAGTTTCTGATTTCTCCGATCACAATTTTCTGATTTCTCCGATCAATTTGTTCAGTTTTTTGCGAGAAGTTTCTCGATTTCTATGATTCTCAGAAATTTATAGTAGATATGATATGTAGTTCTATTCCTGAACTTAAGGTTTTATTGATAATTTTTCTTCGATAGAAAAAATAGAACGAATCTAAAGTGACTTTTTAAGTGATGAATATTATTCAAAAATTGGGGGACCAATAAAATTGAAAAGGACAGATAACATTTGACATAAGTTTGTGTAACTGTGTTATTATATATATAGATATATAACCGATCCAAAATTTAAGGTAATTAGATACGAAAATTATTCTATTTGTGTGTTACTTTTTTATCAGGATAATGTGTATGTTGACTATATATCTATAAGTAAATAAATTGAAAATTATGTTACTTGTCAACCTTTTTTTTGCTAAATTATTTATTAGATTTGACCATGAAAAATAGCTTTTATGTATGTTTGTGTTACTATATATATAAAACCAATATAAATAGATAAAAATCATCAAAAAAGTTAAAAGAAAAATATAATAAAAATGATTTCTAGCATGAAAAATTTAATTAGATTTGTTTTCATGATTATTTTCATCATATCTTTTGCTTATTGTCATTCAACAACCCTTAATACTCCAAGTATTGGTTTATTTTTATACTACTATTTAAAAATTATACACATGAATTTGTCTTTTCAATTAATATACATATTGGTTTAATAAAAAAATTATTAATAAATAGGATATGAAATAAAGCAATGGGGATCTAGAATGTTACATTTCCCAAAGGACCATGTGAGGAAAAAAGTTGCGAGAAATTTTGTACAAAGCAAGGTTATGTTCAAAACTGGTGCCAGGTCATTCATTCGTAATCCATTATAATAATATCAAATAAAATATAATCAACTAAATGTATAAGGATATGCTTAAAAATAATATTAATCTTTTTCATATGTTTTGAATAATATCAAGACATTCACAAGATTGATAAACTTTACTTTAAAAATATATAATTTTGATTAAATTCAAGCAATTTTTATTTTGCAATTGAAACGTTATGTAGATCTAAACCGAAATATAAAGAAATGAATATTGGTCAATAAGGTTCCACAACATAAATAAAAAAAAGTTAAGAGAAAAATGAAACAAAAGATGTGAGCTTCACTTCCTTAACAAAAATGAAAGTGATTTTGCTATGTAAAATAAAAACAAATTCTTAAAGTTTAATTGGTAACATTATATCGTAACAATACAATGTATTTTTCTCTGGGTTTAGGTTTGTTCTTGAGTAAATGTTTTTTTTTTTGCCTCTTTATAGTTATTCGTGTTTATTATTTGAATCAATAGTTTTTTTGTTTTGGTTATCAAATATAATATTTCTAGCATTTGGGTTAAACATGGGCATCCAACCTAAAACCAATTGGCAATAGGTGGAGAGGCCCTAATCCTTTATATATTACTTAATTATTTCTCCTATTATCGATGTGGGACTTTCATCATTAACACTCCCCCTCACGCTCAGAGGTCATCATCTGAAGCGTGGGCAATTGTGGGAACAACATCCACGGAGTGGCCCAGAATGTGGGACTTTCATCATTAACACCCCACCTCACGCTTAGAGGTCATCATCTGAAGCGTGGGCAATTGTGGGAACAACATCCACGGGGTGGCCCAGAATCGACTGCTCTGATACCATGTCAAATTTGGGTTAAACATGGGCATCCAACCTAAAACCAATTGGCAATAGGTGGAGAGGCTCTAACCCTTTATATATTACTTAATTATTTCTCCTACTATCGATGTGAGACTTTCATCATTAACACTCCCCCTCACGCTCAGAGGTCATCATCTGAAGCGTGACAATTGTGGGAACAACATCCACGGAGTGGCCCAGAATGTGGGACTTTCATCATTAACACCCCACCTCACGCTTAGAGGTCATCATCTGAAGCGTGGGCAATTGTGGGAACAACATCCACGGGGTGGCCCAGAATCGACTGCTCTGATACCATGTCAAATTTGGGTTAAACATGGGCATCCAACCTAAAACCAATTGGCAATAGGTGGAGAAGCCCTAACCCTTTATATATTACTTAATTATTTCTCCTACTATCGATGTGCGACTTTCATCATTAACACTCCCCTCACACTCAGAGGTCATCATCTGAAGCGTGGGCAATTGTGGGAACAACATCCACGGAAAGGCCCCGAATGTGGGACTTTCATCATTAACAGTTTATTATTTGAATCAATAGTTTTTTTGTTTTGGTTATCAAATATAATATTTCTAGCATTTGAAGGTCGTCGTGTTGTGATCGGATGTTTGGTTTGGTAGAACTCCGTTTTTTGTTTCCAAAACCTGAGATCATGGAGACTTCAACTTCTATGGAGCAGCCAAACCCGATAACTTCATAACCCCGTTATCAAAGAGAAGAAGTACGTATAACACGTCGGATTATAAGAAAACTGGCAATGGTTTGTGAAACGCACGATGATTGTTTGTTCTGCTCCAACATAGATCTTAACAATGGTTAGTCTCAACGTTTAATGTGTTTTCTTCTTTCGGTTGATATCGTCTTTGAATAACTTTAACTTTTTAAAAACGTAGACTTTGTAAGTGAATTATTTGTAAGTCATCACAAATTTTAGTATTCTTTTGTTTTATAGCAAACAAATCTCCTTAACTTAGACAAACTAGAGATATGAAATTCGAGTTTAATTAATAACCATGTACATTCTAGAAGAAGTCATCCTCATGATTAATGCAAGTGGTCGTTCTTTTTGTTAGTGGTAAAACAATATCCTCAAGAAACAAATACATAAAGAGAGATAAAAGTGTTCTCGCACGTTTAAGAAAACAACGATTGAACCAAAAAAAAAAGAAAAAAAAAAAAAGTAGCCCGCATTCTTGTGGTCCAGTGGTAAGGGGAAGTCTTGGTAAAGGGTAAAACTCCCAGACTCGGGTTCGATTCTCCCTGGAAATAAAAATCACATTTGTGTGGGAAGTCTGTCAGTTGGACCTAGGCCCAATTGGTTTACCTGGTAATCAGAAATGCATGCGGCCTGATTACCCACTGGCATTAGTCGGAATACACTCCAAACTCGGGATAGACAGTGTGATAGTCCGAAGGATGAGTTCACTTTGTAGCACCTTGGTTCCTAGTGGGGCTAACCGGAAGCCGATAGAGTCAATCAAAAAAAAAAAAAAAAAACAAAGTACACACCATGACCAAAAGAGGAAATTTAGAGCTTGGGAAAAACCATGGAAGAAGGAAAACACAATTCGCCATTACTTGTAAGTTTTGGACTTTTGGGAAAAGGAACCGGATTTTAAGTGGTAGTTGCTGAAAAGAAAACATTTTTTCAATCAAGAAACTCTTAACTAGAAAAACAAAACAATGGGATTAAATGTAAATAGAAACAGAGTGGAGATTCTTACTTAGAAAGCACGGCAAGAGAAACAGAAACTCAGCACAAAATCTCTGCCTTTCAGCTACAGTGTTCCTTCCCCTGCAAGAAAAGTCACCATTTCATCTGCAACCTCAATATTTACGACTGATCAATCTTGGAAAAGCACGCTTGGAGGGTTCAAAGATGGTTTGTATTTTACACAAACCCACCACGAAAAGTGGCTATGACTTTTTCGAATCTTTATCTTGGATTGGGTCCAACTTAGCAGCTAATAAACTATGGATTCGAATAACACGTCTTGTCGTCTTCGCCAAGACTGATTTCAACAAAACTAAAACACACCACATTGTCTTGAGAAAGTAGAGATCAACACTTGTTAACTTATTACATAAAAAAGTCTCATGAAACATTCTTAAGTCTAAACTTAGAACAACAAACAAAAGAAATTCCACCAAGCAGCATATTGTTCTCTAGATAGTTATTCAAGATAAAACCTCTTTTGCTCTCTTCCTTAATCCATGGATAGGCGTGGGATACAAAAGTCAACAAGCAGACCTGCTGGCCCAATGCCCAGATGGGAGAAGTAAAACATCCTGCTCACAGCCACCTTGACAACCACAAACTCCTTCTTGTACCACACCTTCACTGTTGCAATCGACTTTCCAGAGATCTTCTCCACTTTCAGCACAATCCCATCTCTAAGTCCAACAAACTTGGCTTCCTCACCTGACGGCCCACAGTAAATTGCCTACAAATGAACAAAAATCCTCTCCAAGTCAAAAACCATTCTCATTTTGAATCTAACTAAACAGAGCAACCAAACCAACACTTACGTCTTGTTGAAGATCAATGTGTGGAGTGTACACATGCATTCTTGCTCCAACCGGTTGATCCTTCAACACCTCACGTACTTGCTCAAAGTTATCAGCCTCATCCACTTTTCCTCTCATGGAAACCAGAGCAGGTTTGTGAGATGGCGAGGGTTTGACACCAGATCCCAAGAGTGGCCAATCTTCTGCTTTCGGTATCCCATTCTTGAAGGCAAACTCGAGGCACTCTTTGACAGTGAGGCTTTGACCAGCGACAGCGACTTTGTCCAGGAAATACTGAGCAGAGTACTCAGTGTGCACACTGTCAAGCTTGAGTGCAAGGCGTGTAGAGCTGATCAGATCAGCTGCAACGACTGCAGCAGAAACAGACTCATCTGCAAAGAGACAAACACACACAAATGGAAGAATGATCAATCAAATGTGAAACAAGAAGTAATCTCAAGAAAAGTATATTCTAGAGTGATGATTAAGTTACCGTGCTCATGGTCATGCTCATACTCCACCTGACTATGTCCCAATGGGGGAGTATGTGCGCATGTGATTGACTGAAAAAATTCAAAAAAACCAACTCGGCTGAGTTGACTCGGTAACTCGCGAATAGCCCACCCGAATAGCCTTAAAACGTGAATAGCCCACCCGAATTGATTTGGAATTACACGCGGATCCTTGATCACTTAAATCAAACCATATTCCCTGATTTTTTGTCTAACAGTTTGGTTCTGTTAAACCAAAAATTGAATTCTGGTTAACTAAAGATTTACAAATAGAAAAATCTATCGACAATTCCATAATATGAAAACCTTGATACTCAAGAGATATGATCTAATAATATTTGCAAAATTTCCAATTGTGAAATAGTAATAAGTCGAATGATAAACCCTACCTACGTACTACTATATAATATGTACCTTAATTGATCTCGTCGCTTGCTAAAAGCTTGAGATGAAGAGTATGAGCGAGCATTAGGAGATCTCTATAGCCTATTTTCTCCCATTTAAATTCCAAAACGAATGGTTTTGTGAAATCAGCATTGCCGGAAATTGGGTAACATCAACTGAATCGGTGGAGGATTGATTCAAAAAATTTGATTTGGATCTGGTACCACGGCGATCCGGATTATACCCGAAAATCCATCACCACAATTAATCGAAGAACCGCTGTTGTTAACCAGATTATTCAGCGAAGATGCAGCCATGTCTGGTTGTTGTTGAGTTTTACAGTGTATTTGGTAGATGAGCTGTTCCCAAAAGGATAAAACCGCAATGGATTGTTGAGATTTTGATTCAGGAGTTACCAGAGACGAAGTAGGTAATGAAAGGGCTTAATCTGAGATTAGAGGAAGGGAAATTGAGAGTGCCGCCAAGATCGCTGAACGAAGAGATTAGATGAGATTTCCGGGAATATTTATCAGATCTATGTGATCTAGTGATGTAAATGGTGAACTAGGTGACCTGTTTATGATTGGAGTTCGTTAGGAAGAAGGTCGGAATATTTCGTATTTAAGGTAGGAAAAAGAGTCGAACGACAGCTTTACAAGAGAAGGAGGTCGGGAAGGTTGCTTATCCCTACTCCGAACTGTGAGTCGAACTACAAACTGACCTGTCGAACTAGAGAGTACAGTAAACTAGTATTTAACTCCTAATCCAAGGGTTTCATGTCCCATCAACTAATGTTACATGCTCTATTTATAGTCTAAACTTTAGGATATCTTCAATAATTTGATGATGATGTGGCTCAATCTCCTCCCTTCATTTAAGTCTCCTTCTTTTGGCTTCCTTTGAGATTGAGTTGGGCCTTAGGTATTAGTTGTGGTGGGCCTTTGATAGGGTTTGGCACAAACCCACCATTAACAGTTGCCCCCCCGTAGTCCGTCGAGTCGAACTGAGCGTTGATCGGCATCGGCGGATTGCATTCGGAGTTTGGGTTCGGCTCAAATAATACCTCGGGCCAGCGCGTGAAGATCTTCGCTCAGGGTGGTTGGGAGAAGTTGAAAAGTTTCCTCGAGATTCGGAACCCTCAGCTCGCAGGCGTGTGGAGTTCGAGTTTTCTCTTTCCGTCTGACATCCCGTCTTGTCTACCACGTGTCGCCTTCTCTGTTGGCGGTTCCTCGGGAAACTGCGCGGCGCTTCGGACGCAATCATTGTGTCGTTTCATCTTCGGAAATCTCCTATAAATATCCTGTTATTCCTCATTCTCTTCTCATTAGCACTTCTTTCTCGTCCGCCTCCTTCGAAAAGAAAAAGGTAATCGCTCCAAACTCTTGCTTTCTTTTCTCTTCTTGTTTCCGAACTGTTTTTCTTCGTCTTCCGAGCTACTGTCTTCTTCCGGACTTGCGTATTCAATCGTTCGGCCGAGGATTTCTTCTTTTACGCAATGGCTAACGGAGGGATCAGGGCCGATTCTAGTTTTTCTTCTCGTTCGCTACCCGAAAGGTCTGTGGAGGCCAGCTCGGAGGAGACCTCCGGCAGATCGGAGTCTTCGTCCTCTAGTTCTTCTTCCATCAGGGTTCCCTCGGTCGTAGTGCGGGGAACGGCTCAGACCTGGGAGGTGGTCCCGCCTTCTCGCAAAGCGGTAAAGGGAAAACGACCTGGGGCGTCGATAGGTGGAGCCATGGTTAGTTCGACCCCTCTGATCCGTATTCCGAATCCTCAAACTCTGGAGACTAAGAGAAAAGGGGAGAGGCTGGACTTGCCGCCGAGCAAGAAA